CCGGCGGACAAGCTGCCCTCGCCGTCCGCAGGTACTCACCTAAAAAGAGGAGGAGGCAGAAGGCGTTTGCCAAGATCATGTTAAATAAATCCCACAGTTTTTCTGTTTCTCCCTTGGGTAAAAATAATAATAATAATAACAATAATAGCCAAGCAGAGCTAATCAGCCCCTAATCCAATGCGGAGATCTCAGCTAGTCCACCGGGTGAAGCTCCCGAGTCCTGCGATTCTCCCCTCTGGCCGGAGGGGGTGGGAGGAAAAGAGTGCGGCGGGCTGCCTCTCGACGCCCCCTGCCCACTAAAATCCAACACACACGTATGTGTGTGTATCCGCTCGACAGCCGACAGCCGGTCCTCAGGTCTGCCGTCCCTCGCTCGTCCGGGAAGGCGCGAGTCCCCGCGGGTCCAATTCCCCCAGCGCTTCCCGGGAGGGGCCTGGGGAGGTGGGGGAGAGGCGATGTGTGGGTGAAGGGCTGGAAAGAGGCGGCGAGGGTCGGAGTCAGAATAAAATGCAAATAGCAAAGAAATCCGCCGACGGGTGTAAGCGCCAAGGAACAATCCAGTGGGAGCTTTGAGGACGAGAGACCCGAGTCGCTTCTTTCGCACCAAGACGAAGAAAAGATTCAAAAAATTCTTCTCCCGCTAACCCTTGCTCGTCTCACTTTTTCTAATGGAATTCCAGTGACCGTGTGTCTCTGCGTGCGTGTGTCTTTCTCTCTGCTCTCCCTCCTCTCCTCTCCTCAGCTCTCGCTCTTTGCTCTCGCTCTCTCCAGCTCCCCCTCGCTCTCCTCTCTCCCTCCCCCTCTTCCTCTCTCCCTGCTCCTCCCTCCGCCCACCCCCTTCCCCTTCGCGGCTCCCTCGCCGTGGCTCTCGCGCCCGCGCCCCTCTCCGCCCGGGGCTCGGCGCTCCGGCTCCCAGGCGGCTGGCGGCGCGGGAGCGCGGCGGAGCAGCGACACTCTGCAGCGGCGGCGGCGATGGCGGTGGCACTGGGAAACGCTGGCCGAGAGGAGAGCCCCGCCGCTGGCTCCCTCTGCTCTGCCGCCCGCCCTTACCCGGACTGACCTGCTGCCTTGCCGGAAACTGACCGGCTCCTCGCCGCTACGGCTCAAGCCCACCAAAGCCTCCGCAACCTCCTCCTCCCCCAAAGCGCGCCCCCACCCACTGCCCCGCCGCGAGCGGGCTGCGCCCTCCCACCCCCATGCCCCGGCCCCCGCTCCCTCGGCCAACGGTCTCGGAGGCCTGGGGAGGCTCAGCTGAGGCCCGAGGGCGTGGAGTCCAGGGCGCCCGAGCCACCCCGGGAGCGTGGGGGAGGGGCGCTAGAAAACGCCCGACTTGGTGGCCGGAGTCTGGGGAGGGGGCTCCGCCCTCTACGGGCGGATGCGCCCTTGGTCAGAGAGCCGGAGCAAAGCGTCTCCCCAAGATGTAAGTGAAAAGAAGGACCCCCCTCCAGCGCCAGCGCCTAGCGTCCCCGCGCAGCCTGCCTGCCCAGGTCTAGCCCCGCGCATGCATACACGTGTGCTCTCCACGCGGGGCCCGAGAACTTTCCCCGCACGCCCGCCGGGCGCTCGCCCCCCGCACGCTCCAGCGTCGGAGCCCTTCGAGACTCTCCTTTGCCAGTAGTCTCCCCTCCCCCGGCGACGAAGGAGGCTACGGTTCCGGGGTGCCCTGTCCCGCCTCCTCCGAGGCCGGCGAACCTGCCTGAACCCCTCCGGAGGGATCAGGCGGGGGTTCGCACCCCCACGGCGGGAGCGTCCCGAAACCGACCCGGACCAGGGCTGGGCGGCGGGCTAGGCTCCGGGGAGCTCTCCCAAGGCAGCCGGCAGCTCCCCGCTTCCGAGGCTTTGGGTGGGGTGCCCCTCCCCCAGCTGGGAAGGGGGCGATTGATCCATCTGTCGATGGGCTGGGCTCACCGGCCTGTTTTAGTCACGGAATTTACAGTAAATGCCCAGAAACACCAAAAAGGAAGCGTCTGGCTGGGAAAGGGCTGAAAGAGGTGAGGTTGCTAACACGTTCCGGCAAGACGGGGCGAGGCGGCGGGGCTGTGGATACGCAGGGGCACACGCCGCGGTGCGCATGGGGCACACACCCACGCACACCGGGCACCCCAGCCCCTCGCTCGCCCCGACACATCCTCAGCTACGTTAGAGCGGCCCTGCATTCCTCGGCTTTGGCGCACACATTCCTGCACACAGCTCCGCGCGCGCACCGCGTGTGCTGGGGTGGGGTACACGCAATGCCTCATAAACGTTCCACGCTACCAAAAACCGAGTCTAGGCTGGGTCTAAGGTGTATCTGGTAGTGCCTTTTAAGATGCTTTTTTAAATGAACAAGACTCTGGAAAAGAGCAAATGCTAGAAATCGACCTGGGCGCCAAGGGAGGGGTCACTCATAAAACCAGCAGCCTTTGCTAGTGGGAAAGCTAGAGAGAGCAACTTCCATCTTGCGGGTTTAGGCGGGAACGCGGCTTCTCCAGTCTTGGGAGCACTCAGCCCGGGGCTCCTCCAAATGGCGCTCATTTGGCCCATCCTAGGGCATCGGCCCTCGCCCCATCCTCGCCTCCACCCCGTCTCCCATTTGCGGGTTACTGGAGGAACCTAGCCCAAGAGGGGTTGGGGACTGGAGCTGAGGAAAGCCCCCTCCGGGCTGCCCTCCCTGTCATTTCTCAGGGCCTCTCCGGTTCTAGGAAATGACTTCACATCCGACAAGGTTTCCTAGCTTCTTTCCAAAAATTGGGGGACTTACAGAACCGGCTTCAGAAAAGTGTAGGTTAAAGGATGAAAACTGGCTAGGAACTATATTGCCAGATAGTCTTGCACTGGAGGCCAGAGGCTGGGACCCTGATGTTAAGTAAACTCTCTCCCTCCCCTCCCCTCTTTCTGGGCCTTCTGGTTGGGGAAATACCCTGCACTGCCCGGCACTTTGGTATCCCACCCAGGTCTTCCCTCTTCCAAGCGCCCTACTCCAGGCTGCAAGATTAGTGCTTAGCACATCCCTCTCCTTTCTCCCCCCACAAAAAAGTTTTTAAACTTTCTTTTAACCCTGGCTAGGCATAAGGTAGAGAACATATAGGAGCTTTGCCCTGCCTCCTTTCCAGTGAAGGGGCTGAGAAAGCAGCAGTGGACACCCAGGGGTGGCTCCCACTGACTTCCCACAGTGGGGCAAGGGGAATCTGGTAGCAGGAAGTGAGTGGCCAGGGCCCTTCAGGCACTTGAGATCACCCAGGTTTCACAAGGACAGTGGACAACACCAGCCACCACCAGCATTCAGCTTGCTGTGGCTGTGGGGCACCTGACCTTGGGCCCTCTCTTCCGTGCTGTCTATACAAGCGTCTCCCACTACACCCCACTCTCTGCTGATCCCAACCCTCCACCTGAGCTGCCCTTAGAGATGGCAGAGTCCAAATGCCACACTGTTGTTTCCTGAGTGTCTACGTGTAAGGCTCCCTGTGCTGAGACCTGTAGAGGAAACACAGATGAACACACAGCAGCCACAGGCCACTGAATCTCTCTGAACCTCAGTTATCTCATCTATAAAATGGGGGGATTAACAACAAACCAACTTTGTAAAGATGAGGTGAGATACTGTCCACAGAGCAGCTAGTCAGATGCCTGGTTCAGAGAAATGTGTTCATAAAATGTCACCCCGTTCCTCTGGATCCTTAGGATCCAGAACAACTAGGAACCTATGACAAGGCATAAAACCTAAGTAGCAAATGAGAAGCAGAGCTAAAAGGCTCCGGGGGTTCAGGGAAATAGAGACTACTTGGTAGAGGATCAGGATAGGAGATCTTGCAAGAGGCAGTCATGGGAGAAAGGAGACTTGCTCAGCAGGTGCAGAGGAAAGCCCAGAGGTTCACGGGTACACTTCCACACACCTCAAGTACTGTGTCCTTCAGCGGCCTTCATGGGGCCCTCCCAGCTGCTCCTGAGCTCACTAGCAGATCAGCCTCCTGCCCACCTGCGACGGCCCCTCCTCACCACAGATCCAGGAGTTATGATGTGCAGGGGGAGGCAGCACTGAGACCCTTCGTTTCTTCCATTTCCTCATCTCTCTAGGCCTACTCGTCTTGTGGAGTGAGTTCTCTGGAGGGCAAAAGCAGTAGAAAAGAGAGAGAGGGAAGAAGGACTAGTGGAGGGGAAGAGGGCTGCAGCCCCATCCCAGTACACACACGCGTGCATGCACACGCACACATGTGCACACACGTATTAGCCACAGAGCTCAACTGACGTGTGCTGCTCCCAGCAAAATCTCATCCTTTCCTCTCCTGCAGTGGGGCGAAGAAGGCTGAGGGTTCCCTTGCCTCAGAGATAAAAACCAACCAGGAACAAATAGAAGGTGCCAGCTAAGACATGTCAGGAGCCACGGAGCTGGCAAGCAGAGGTGCCCTCAGCCATGAGACAGCGGCTGAGCCAGGCCTCCCGCAGTCAGTCAACCAGCACAGACATCAGATCCCTTCTCTGCTCTGGCACAGTGCCGAAGGCTGTAGGGAATATGGCTCTGAGCAGGACTGCCCCTGCCATGGAAGCATTTACAGATGGAGTTCGGGCATGTCCCCATGAAAAGATAGTGAGCAACCCACAGGCACACTGGGGTCAAGTGAGAGAAAGGAAGAGTCAGTGCCACTGGATTATGGAGGACTTGCTGGGGGAGGTGGGATTTGAGCTGGGCGTGGAAGGATGGGCAGAACTTGGCTGAACACAGAGGAGGGCCCTCTAGTAAGGGGCAGCACAGGCAAAAACAGTGGTAAGGAAGGCCTGAGGAACAATCCTAGAGTCGAGAGGACCAAGCCCACTGGTGGGGAAGGCCTGCTGGGGGGAGACCTAGGAGGTCCATTGGGAAGCACAGTGGAGAATCAAGCATCGAAGGCTTTGGACCTGCTCCTCTAGGAGCCACTGAAAGTTTTTGAGCAGGCGAGTGACAGGACAAAAATGGTCTTTTGGGAAGATTGATCTGACAACTCTGTGAAGAATGGAGAAAAGACACCAGTTAGGAGGTGATTGTAACAGTCTCGGCCTGAGGTAATGAAGGTCCAAAACAGGAGGAGGTGGTGGATGTGGACAGGAGGTCGCAGTGGGCGTGGGCAAGGGAGATGGTGGCACAGACAGGAGGAGGTGGTAGGCAGGGGCAGGAGGAGGTGGTGGGCATGACAGGAGCAGGTGGTGGGCAGCGGCGTTGTAAAGATGAATTGGCAAGATATTGGTGACGGATTCAACACAGGGGACAGGGAGGAGGGAAACCGCCTTCCACTCAGACAGTGGGCAGGCCAGGATAAAGTGACCAGCCCTGACTTCTCAGGTCTTGTCATTGGAAAAAATAAAGTATCCAACTTTATGGCAAGATGCATGTTGATATTCCTTTAATTCTTACAGCGACTCTGTGGGGTAGGTACTATTATAGCCCCATTTATAAATGAGAAAACTGAGGCAAGAAAAGTGACTTAAGTTCCTAGGGTCATA